TCTCTCTCTCTCTCTCTCTCTCTCTCTCTCTCTCTCTCTCTCTCTCTCTCTCACACACACACACACACACACACACACACACACACACACATTCCTTCCATTGTCTGGTTTCGAGTGTTCATCGCCCCTGACCAACCCCGGGATGCACTGGCTCGGTCCTAGCAGGGCGGTCGCGATGGCCATCGCGATCCATCGATCAGCATTACAAGCGGGTAGTCCCACGGCCCTTCTCGACTAGCTGACCCCAGCGCGACTCTGAGGACGCATTCAAGCCCACCCACTTGTGCGGGCCCTACCAGACCTGGTCTGGTGCAAGAGTTTGCCTCAAATTGCCCACTGAGAATGTATCATTCCGTAGGGTTAGGCTCTCCCCCCTCCCCTGCCGCGCACCACTCTTCAGGTGATCTATTACACGTGCCATTACACATCTCATTACACATGTAATTACACGTATCATTACACGTGTCATTACGGCATCACTACATCTGTCATTACAACGGACGTTACACGTTTGTACCTGCACCGATCGTTTAGGAAAGGATCATATCCGTCCATTAAAAAAAAGAAAAAGATCATGTCCATCCATAGCACGCGAAGATCAACGACAAGTATCTCTTGATCCGTGCTACCCGGTAGCAGAGTCTTCCTCCAGAAAAGGATCGGCGACCAGTGGTGATGAAGGACCGGGGGGGATCGGGGGGAACCGGGAGGAGGGCGGGTGGGGGGGGTGTGGATCTGGGGGGGAGGAGATCGGGGAGAGATCAGGGGAGTACCGGGGGGTCAGAGGGGAGGAGAGCGGGGGGGAGCGTTGGGGGGAGGGAACAACGTATCACTCATCCGTATCCTTCATCCAATTCTGCTTCTGGCCGTTGATCGTCGATTTTTTTAATTTTTTTTTTTAAAACAGATCAGCCAAAGGCCGAAAAGGTATGGCCGTTGATCGTCGAAATCTACGGCCCGAAACGAAGGATCCACGTAATTTACTAATTTTGTATTTACCCCCGGAAATAGTTACCTTCTTCCCGCCAATAGAACGCACGGTCATTCTAGCGGGGTATTTCGGCCAGCTTTCAGGCTAAATAGAGCGATAACGACGATACTTCTATTGGGTGGGGGGGGGGGAGAGGGGGTGGAAGACGGTATATATGTATATGTTAGAAGAATATATATATATATCGTCACAAACAGAACTGCCCGGTAAAACCGTAGGCAGAGAGAGAGAAGAGGACAACAAACGAGGGGCTGTGACAAACTGTTTCATGTATGTTACAAGAATATGTATATGTATATGTTACAAGAATATGTATATGTTCATTGCCCAGCACTCTTGCTGCCATCCGGTGCAAAATTCCATCATTGCAAAATCCCTTCAATGCAAATTATTTCCATCTTAA